ATGTACTGCATTTACTGTATCCTGATGCAGAGAAACGCAAGCCACCAGTTTTAATCTTTATAGTAGGGTTCGTCAGCCATCCTTTCTTTGGTTCAAAGGCGGTAACCAGAACATCGTCATCTGATGGCAAAATACGATGCCGTTTCTAGGAGGAGATAATAAATTTATACCAGATATCGAAGCACCCATGCTTCCTTCACTGTCTTTTATAATGACTTCGTTGTCTTTAGGTCGAGCTTCTGGTTCATCTTCATCTTCATCATCATCTTCTTCATCAATGACATCGACAATGCATAGATAATAGAGTAAAGGAAAGGGATTGGAAACTTCCGTTCGCGGCTGGAAATGCTAGTTACCTATACCGTATTAATTTTAAGCCAATTTGCTCTAATTAATCGTATGTAAAATTGAAATTGGCTGGAGAAGTGAAGCAGGTAGGCATACATTTCATTAGTTTTTGGTTGCATATTGTCTTATTTTGTACAGATAACCCTTCGATAATGTAGAGGGACACTCTTTCTACTTGCCCAAGTAGTTTGCTGTGGCAATCATGATGTTTGCAGTTGGAATTCATTGTTAATCAGCACTGTCAATCATTAATCACCATATTACATGTTTAATTGTATCATTTTCTGTAATAATTATAATATAGAATATTATATATAGTATATTTTCATTTACTCTAATATCTATGGACAATGCAATGACTGCCACGGCCACACCTCCACGTCACCATCTGCCACCACGTGATGGAATTTCAAGGACTAGACAAGGAGAGACTAGACTAGGCGAGCGAGCGAGACTAGGGTACTGGGTACTCAGACTACTCACTGAGTCTGAGTTGATATTGAAGTCAGTGTACTATGTTTATGTGTTTGTTTACTTATATCTTGCAGGGTAAAGTGGACTCTGGAAGAACTCGTCAAGAATTAATTACTAAAAGGTAGAGCAGTGACAGTTAGTTCCTTCGGTACCTTGTTCTTTACTATTGTATGTGCATTATGCATTGGGTCCTATTGTGTTAATTGGCATAATCCCCCAAGGCCTTGTGAATGATGTATTGCAGTGAGGTTAATGCTCGGGTTAATGGTAATTATATATTACTATATAGACCTCTCGAGCTGAGAATGACTAGGTGTATGAATATCATTATTTTGAGATACGGTATCCACAAATGCACAATAATTGGCTGCCATTTTGGACGGCAAGATTCAATGAAGAAGGAATGGAGTAAACTATAAAAATGATTTGTTTGACTAGTCTGGAACTGTTTCAAGCTACAAAAGTTGGTTGTAAGAAAGAATGGGTGCTACCAAGCATCTCATAAAACAGATTTGGTGCAATGTGCAGCAGATTCTTTACTATAGCTTGCTTTCTGCTTTTGTTCATTGGTTGCTGTCCATGGAATTTATTTCCTTCCCTACCACACCCACTGCCGTATTTACTCTAATGATATAATTTATTCTCAGCTCAATAGGTCTATAGCGAGAAATTTTCGTGGATCCATCTAAAAATCAATTTTGTGGCTTTAATTTTCGTGGTTTTCTACTTTTTGGCCATCTTGAACCGTATTAACTTGATTTTCGCAGATTTTATTTTTGGGAATTTTGAAAAAAAAACGCAAGATCCACGAAATTTTGGCCACAAAAATTTTCCGGTATACGGTATGTGGTTAAATATTATAAATTTTCACTTGACATTATTTTTTCATTTCAGAGTCAACTCCAACATGCTACGTATGCCTCTACGTGTTTTTACCCTGGCCAAAGCAAGGCAGCAAGAGTTGGCTAACATATCATATGGAGGACATAAAGAGGTAGAATGCAACTAAATTTTAATTTTTAAGGCCTTTCCACACTGGCACACTTTTTAAAGTGCTTTGTAGCGATGGGTGGTATTAGAAAAAATTATAAAAATAAAAAATTATCTCCCAGCTATTTTTGACAAAATTTTTTGCTAAGACCACAAAGCTATTATAGCCTTTGGTCGTAGGCCTAATTTTTGAGGAACCTTAAAAAATTCATAAAAATTCAAACTTGATCGGAATTAGCTCAAGTTTTTACACAACATAAGAATGTGTATGTGTATTAGAAAAAAATTATAATTATAAATTTTAGGCAAGGTCAGGCCCCTGGCCCTGCCTGACTATTGGCCTGACTAGATTTAGTATATAACCTTAACAACAACCAGTTGTACCTGCTCCTCTTTCTCTGTCTTCTTGTTCCTCTCTTGTAGTCATTAGCTGTTTTATGAGTTATAATCAGATTGTTTTATTTTGCATCATTTTATTTTATTTTACATACAATTATTATGGCCAATGTGTGCACTATTATCTATTTCAGTGCTTCCAGGTCCAAATTTCAATTTTTCACCAGGTGGTCCCGAAAATTCCCTAGAAATCCCTAATTTTGTAAAAATTTCCCCCTAGATTACCCCTAAAAATCTATTGATAGTTAAATAATCATTTCATTCATTTCATTTGAACTGAAAGGGTTAATTAACTTACCGTATTTTACCGTATAAACACCTGGTCCAAATAAATGCCTGTCATTAATATATTCTAGCTATAGATACACATATTTCTACCAAAAGTAATGCACCACTGTCTAGATAGCTCCAAAGTGCTTAAAAGTTAGAGCCTGGTCTAACTTTCCTGGAGTTGGGGGTTTGATTCCCGCTCAGAGTCAGTTTTTTATTTTTTTTTCAAAGAATTTTTTTGCTGCTAAGAAATAAACGCCTGGGCATTTAATCGGTAAAATACAGTAATTTATATGAAGTTTCTAAATTATTTATAAAATAGTTTTCAGAGAAAGTACCAAGAAAATGGCCTATTCCAGGTGTGAATAACGTGATCCTCATTGCCTCTGGTATAGGTGGAGTTGGAAAATCTACAATAGCTGATAAATGTATAATATTATTTATTTATTTAAATTTTTTTTTAATTTTATCGTTAATTTAGCAGTGACATTAGCAAATGTGAAAGTACAAATTATTAGTAACGCGGTAGTGTTACTAAGTAGGATTCACCCCACTTCAAAATGGCTGCCACGACTTTTGCAGCCTTGTATTAATTGTTATTTCATTAATTATTAATTATTAGGGGCTGAGGGTCCATCTATTAGATGCTGATGTGTATGGTCCATCATTGTCACGTCTTAATGAACCTGTCGGGACAACCTGAACTGGATAAACACTAGTATATTATTAGCATATTCCAGTATATTGTCGTGATATTTTATATAGGACAAGATGATACTGCTAACCAATTATAATGTGAAATGGTAATTTATTATTATCTATAATTAATTATTTATTGCTATTATTTTTAGTATGTCAATGTGTTTTTTGGTAGAAGAATCAGAGCCAATAGTGTGGAGAGGATTAATGGTAAATTAATAATAATTATTTACATGTACATGTATATATACAGGTAATGTCAGCAATATGGAGGTTATTAAGAGGTGTGACCTGGTGTCTGTTGGATATATTAATAATTGATATGCCACCTGGACCTGGAGACACTCAGTTATTATACCTGTATCTGGTAAAATAAATAATGGATAAACACCTCCTATGAGGTGTTTATGGAATTTGAAAACCGAGGGCGAAGCCTGAGGTTTACAAATTCCATAAACGCCTCATAGGCGTTTATTTGTTTTAAACATATTCATGGAGACATAGTTATTACAAGTGGTTAATTAGGCTCAAGCAAATGTATACTTGTGGTATTCTGTTAAATGGCTTCCATGTAGCGGTCTCCATAGCATTTGGACACCTCATTCATATCATTAACATCAAACAGAATTATTCATGAATGGTTTAATTAATAATTTAATATTATATTTATTAATTTTTATTACCAATTTTTTAAATTTTTTGCAGTATATGCGTGTACATGTTGTTGTTGTTGTTTGTTTGTTTGTTTGTAGGTATGGTTGTTTGTTTGTTTGTAGGTATGGTTTTAGTGTCAACTCCACAGGATCTCTCATTATCTGATGTTAGAAAAGGAGCTGAAATGTTTAAAAAAGTCAGCATACCAGTAAGCTTAAACCCAAGCGAATATATGCATCCCAAGTGAATATATGCATAAATAGCAATATGAATGAATTATGGTTTTAATCCTTTCTTCTTATTTGTATCTGTTCCTTTTTCTTTCTTTTTTAGAACTAGTAACTATAGAGTACCATATAGCCGGAAATTTGGCGGTCTAAAACTTTGGCGGTTTTACATCAAATTGCCTAAATATAATATTGGTGGTCTCTTAATTTGGCAGTTTACTATCTTGCCTTTTCTTTGAGCACTCTCATCTAAGAGGCTGAAAGGCAATGAGAAAGACCTGCAACATCACAGACTAGCCACCATTGCTCAGTGTAAAAATGAAAATTACTGACAATTAGAAAGAATTAATACGGTATGGGGAAGGTAGCTTGATTTCCCGCGAAAGGAAGTTTCCTATCCCTGTAACTCTAATATCTATGGTGTGGACATAATAGGTTACTATAGCAACACATCATTTTTAATCACTTCTTTTTTGTTCTCCACTTCATTTATTCCTCTTTTAATTGCTTTATTGTGTCTTTGTCCTCTCTCTTCCTTCTCTCTCTCTTTCCTCTAAAGGTGTGGTTCCATTAGATGGTAATATTTGTGGATTATCAACCAATAGTTATATCAAAGTCTGATAGTCCACAGGTTAACTTTACATGTTGTTCTATTTCATTATACAGGCTAATTCATGATAAGAATATAGCTGAGAATTATTCAGTGCCACCTTCAGGAGACCCCCATCAGTAGTATGAATAGTTCTGTTTAGCCAGCCTCTCCCACAAGCAGTTTAGGAACTGTGTGCAGTGATTATAATTTTTTACACTGAATATATACTGCATGATAGTGTATAAATGAATAAAATGGCACCTAGATCTATCATGCTGCAAGTATGCTCTTTTGCAGCAAACACTCAGTAGGATAAGACAAAACTGCTGTCCAAAAACTTCTCTAGCAGCAAGTGTCATACAGCACAACA